GACAATACATAGTAGAGGGGTGCGAGAGTGATATCCAATACCGCCCTATACCATAATACCCGGTGCAGAACCAGTGTAGCGGTGCATAATGCAGCTTTCAGCATCCTCTCTCCACGGTGTCTCCAGACTCGAATCCGACGATCGTGGTGTTGCAGAAAGAAGCGTGACTAGTCAGTAAAGTTATTCCATTCTGCCGTCCACATCATTCTTTCATTGCACCATTGGCGGCGGAGACGTCTGTGGCGCTGCGTCAAGGGTAGACGAAGCAATGGACGTCTTGCGGACAGACCACTCTGCTGTAAACGGCGTCGAATGGTACGCGCAGACATTGGATGATGCGTTACAGACTGAATGTGCTGTGCTATGATTCGTGATGTGACTGAGCGTTCCGTCACTGCCATGCGCACAATGTTCCTGTCATCACGTGAAGTGGTGCACTGAGGTGGATGCGATCGAACACGTCGGTCCGTTGTACCCTCCTGCATCCAACGGTCACATATCCGCATTACAGTTGTTTGGTTTCGTCCAACACGACTACCGATTTCCCTGAAAGATAATCCACACCCTCGGTAAGCCACTATCCTTCCTCTGTCGAACTCGGATACTTGATCAAACGATGATCGCTGAGGCATAATTGATCTCTCTCTCTCTCTTTTTTTTTTTCTGAAAAAACCACAAGAAAAACACAATTGCTGAATCGTCGAAAACTCCAAGCCTTAAATAGCTCTTTGAAGTGGCGCCACAGGCGCGTGTGATGTGCGTCTGCGCTGAAATTCTAATCATTTGCATATCTCACATCCGCTAATGCGTGTTGTAAATTTCATATTATTTGCATGCTTCCTTCAGGGTGTTGCATTTACGGTGGCAAGCAGTGTAGTATAAGATCATGGTACTTTTTGTTTCTAAATTTGTAAATTTGTGCACTCATTCATTGATTTAGTATTTGAAATGTTTTATGTTACTTATTGTTGTAATTGTTTATGTTGTTTGTCATTGTGTTGTAATGTTGATTATTGCATCGATACCTTAGTTGTAAGTATGGCTTCCTGTCCAGGCATTGTACTGCCCAGGACGTGCAGTCCTTGGAAAGGGGGCAGTATTACGAATTTTGAATTTACATAGATAATTTTGGTAGAATTGTAATTAAAATTGTTGTTTGCCCCGTGCAATGCAGCTCGAGACAAATTTTAAGAGAAAGCTATGGCGTAAAAATAAAACTACAGGATTACGTGCATTTAACTTTGAATAAATGGGTATCTCTTTAATTTGTACTGAAATTGAATAAATGTAATTGCCATTATGTTTGCTGTAACCGTAATTACAGCCTCTTATTGCTTTCCAGAAATCTTGAGAAGCAGAGATGACTAGAAATTTCTCACGACCGGTTGAAAACTATAAAAGACAGGAGAGAGAGTATTTAGTGGCAACGATTTGAAAAGTAATACAGCCTTTTAACGTTTTCAAGGCAAAATCGCAAAATGAAAAAAATAGGCCTTCATGGACAGAGCCCCTTTGGACTAATAATTAACTAATCCGGAAAATATTAACTATATAAAATTACATGAAAACATTTATAAATTATAAACTTCACGTCATCTGAAATCCAATATTCTTTCACCAATAAGAGCTTAACCTCCTCCAAATATTAAACAGTAAAAACTTTTAAAAACAAACACAGTATTTCAAAATTAAATCAAAAAGAAGAATCTTCTGACTACATTAAACTTGCATTCATTACAAGCACCGGAGGAACTTCTCTGATATGCGCCCTTAAGTCGGCAAATTTCTCGCCAAACAATTTTGGCGAGAAACTCGACGCTGCCATATTGCTAGCTAAATTTTTTGTCTACATTTCGAACATTAAGCCTAAAATGTCTCCAAAAACACGGTTTTCGCGAATGCAAACACCACGTTTTGAACACACATTTTAAGCTAAAAATCCTAAACAAAAACAAAAAAATTAGATAGCAAAACCGTAAAGTTTCTAACCAAAATTATTTAACAAAAGTCCATGTACACAGCGATATGTTTTAACTTAAAAAAACATCTACGAGTGGCACAATTTAGGCAACAAACGAATCTACGAACTACGCACACCTCACTTTAATAAATTAACATAACAACAATAAATTTCAAAGAATACCATGTACACAGCGTCCTGTTTCAACTTTAAAAAACATCTACGAATTGCACAATTTAGACGGTACGCACTAATCAAAAAAAATAACTAAAATAAATTTCAAACAATTCAAAAAAAAGGTAACGGCAGAAATTCATACTAAAAGACAATGAACATAACATTCTACAAAATAAAACAAGAATAAAATAAAATGCACTTACCATGAATTAATGCTTTTTCAAACAGAAGAAATACCAATTTCATACCGCCACGTAATCACTTTCGTATTTATATGATAGCCAGACACACTATCCAGAAAATTCATACTATGGTTCACAAATAAATAAAATAACAAATAATCACAAATCCCTACTTCTATCATGCACAGTCACTAAAAATAATCTTTCAGACCCTCTTTCCACACCTCCAAATACCCACTGCACCTCAACAGAATGGCCACGACGATATTTCCTTTTGCCGAACTGATTTAACAACTTCCATCATTTTATCTTTCCCCCCTAGCTTCTCAGACACAAAGCATGACGCACACCAACGAACACCAGCGAAAGATTTTTCAACGTCAACAGGGTTGCCATACAACACGCAATCGCGCCAAAAACCAGCGCAGAACACATATCGCCACATTTGGTGAAATTAGGGCGTATATCAGAGTTGTACCGCACCGAAATAAAGCTCAAGGTTTGCCACTGGAAAACATACAGCCGGAAACCAACAACCAAATCAAAACGTGCCAAATTATAAACTCTCGCCAAGTTTAGCGCTCGCCCAGATTGTCGAAGAGGTACTGCTTTGGTAGACGGTTCCACGGATTTTGGCGAGTAATACAACTTATGGTAAACCCTTTGCTGGATAAGTTATTTATGGTAACCTATACTTTGTTGTCATTTTATTTAAAAAATAGTGCGTTTTATTGTGCATAAATTCCGTGTTTAAAATATTATTTATGGCTTTTAAATATTAAAAATCAATTTAATTTTGCATTTTTATTTGAAATAAAAATTTTATTGTTTATCATATTTTAAGAAATTTTATGTTGTGGATGATGTAATCAATGACGTCACCTTACTTTAAAAGTAATTCGTTTTAATATGTATAAATTTAATCTAATGTTTTAAACATTATTTATGGCTCTTAAATATTAAAATACAATTTAATTTTGCATTTTTTTAAATGATTTTATTATGTATGAATTTTTAAATAATTTTAATTCTAGCCGTGATGTAATAAGCTCTCTGATTGGTTATAGAATATTTTTGCATTAACGAGCTGTAATCAGCTCCCTGATTGGTTACTGACAATTTGTGCATTTCCGCGCCGTTTTAAAATTTAATTTATATCTTCGAATTCCTTCAAAGATGTTATCTAAATTATGATTCTGATTTTTTATTGTGGTACTTATCAATAAACAACAGATTAAACACTCAAAAAAATGTAAGAACATATTTTTCTTTTATTTTATAATTGTATACTTCAATTTTTGTTAAAAAAATTAATACACTATTTTCAGAAATTGCTGAGATAATTATTGTCCATATGTTTTAATGTTAATTATATTCTATATAACGTATTTTAAAATATTTGAATTTAATAATATTCTAATTCTTTTAAATGTTGGTATAATGGTTTTTAATTCGATATTCAATTTCAGTAATATTTTAATCTAATTAAACGTTGGCCCAATGTTTTTATAGCGGTGTTTTTATTCTCTTCTTTGATATGAAAGTAATAATAACCTTACTTTAGTATTTTATACTCATAGTAAATGTATTTATTTACACTTGCCTGCCATCTTAAAAAATGACATTTTCAACAAAAAATTAATCCATTACTTTTAACGATATTTATTTATTTATTTTTTAAGTTTCGAATACTTTACTATGCGTAAAAACAGCGTTTTTCAAGATGGCTGACGTTTGTAAAAATCGCGCCAACAATTCGGCCAACGTAAATCGCCAAAAATCCGTGCAACCGTCTACCAAAGTAGCACCGTCGAAGATTAACTATTTTCAATATATTTTCTTCCCCTTCCTCAGATTGGAATTACGAATTATGTCTTAGAATTATTATATACAATAAACCTGTATGTAATTTTATAGCTGTACTAGAATAACATATGGTATTTCTTTGTTAAAACATGTATCGCCCTTAGTCAAACAAACAAGCAAACTTAATTGCAGAAGTTAAATATCAAACGTGAAAATTTCGGGGAAAGTGCAGAATCACCCACTGCTTGGCGCGTTTTTAAGAATTGCACATACTCGGTATCCATGTACACGTCGACCTATTTTCACAAAATCAAAAAATCCCAGAATTGCACAAAAATGGTATTGCGCATACTCTTGACTTTATCCATGTACACATCGATCTATTTTCACTTAAAAAGTCAAAGAAAATTGACAAAAATCCAATTCTAAAAAAAAAAAAAAAAAAAAAAAAAAAGTAAAAAGCGCCAAACAAATAAGTGGGCGATTCTGCACTTTAGTCCAAATTTCAAATACCTCTGAAGATTATGCGGTAGCCGCATTAATATAGAAGTACCTAAAGCAACTGTAGTTTTGAGTATTATTGGAATATCATTAATTATTGGAATAATTTTTGAATAAAAACATCTAAGAAGAAAGGGAATGATATACTAACACATGGTGACAAGCGAGAAAGAGCTAATAAGAGTTTAAACAATTCTATAACTGATTGAATGTATTTTTTTTTTTTTTATTCGTAACTCGTTTACACTAATTAATTCTATTGACACAATGCAATAACCAGAAACCTTTCTCTCAGGTTTATAATGCAGGTATAAGTTATGAATAAAACAAAACAAGAAAAAGTATTGGAATAACATTTATAAAACATTTCTTACCTCAACTCAAAATTCCGGATGAAAAATTGCGATATAAAACATTGCTCCAAATTTCAGAAGCAATAAATAAACTCATTCATTTTCAAATCATCGTTAAGATTATGTTGTTGCCACATATTTTAAGTAAATAAGAAGGGTTAATAACATAACTGATGAAAGGTTAATAATGCACTTAGCATGTGCATTTTTAAAACTATAAATCTTTCTTGACGAATCTTCGCAAATCCGAATTAAGAAACCTTATTACAAATTCTGCGTGAAAGTAGTAAAATATACTACTGCATCCTGATATTGTTTGTGACAACATTAATTTGCACAAGGGCAAAAACTGACTCATCGAAACACTATAGTTACACATACAATGGTATTTTGGCGATTTCATGGTCGTTTTGTAGGTTTGCCGTCGTAATGAATTCAATTTTCCGTCTGAGATTTAAAAATCATATTCGTGCACGACTGTAAATCTCGCCGCAACAAAGAGTTTCGACAGTACATTACATTTTGGATGGGGATGTATAAGGGTCATTGTGGTTTCTAAACTATTTCTAAGATTTGGGTGAAAATGCGTGTGTAATTTTGAGCATTGTTCAGTTTTCAATGAATAGAAATTACCCCGAATCGGAGTTAATTCCTTGTCACCTCTGAATGATTATTGATGAGCATTCTTTTTAATACAAATAATGGATTTATATTGCGAGCTATCGCTTCGTTGATATGTCTCTGAACTATTACTCAGCTAAACAGGAAGAAATTGAGAATTTTTACTATAAAAATTAGCTACGCAAGCCCAATAAATAACAGCAGATAGCCTTAAGCAGAAAGCGGATAATAAAAAAATCCCTCCTTAGCTCTGATTGCCAAAATCACTTACAGAGTAATTCACAATTGAGCAAACTCTAAATCTCATAGCTAAATAACAACAACAACTCGTCCGTTGATAATTTAAACATATAATTATCTAACCTGAGGGCTATCATTAGCTAATTAGGAAATAATCTGCTGGCACTTAAAAGTGAATGGGCAGAAAGTGAAGTTCTTGATAGGACTAGGAAAATCGATGGAACAACTTGTTCTGATAGAATCATAAGATTAATGGGGTGACAGAAGCACGAGTCTGTTGCAATCTGGTCATTATAAAAGTGCATTTTAGACTTTTTATCTGTATTGAAGCGATTTCGCGTTTGCGCCAATACTAGAGATCTGGTACAGAGCTCTGGGAGGGTGTAAAAGGAAAGATAAAGATTAATTTAGAAGTCAAACAACATAAATCAGCGTTATATTTTCAAATTTTCACAGGACTAGTTTCGATGGTTTTATCGAACCATCATCCTCAGCTGCAAAAGCGCAAATACAAATGCATATTATACAGATAAACAGAAAATGTGCTTTCTGGGATACAAATGAGTTTCAATAAGAGGTATGGTTTCCTTGACAAAAAGCAATGTCGCTCACCCACGAGGAATGGAATGAATGAGGTTATCGATGAGAGACTGAGGTATTCTCTCCCACTCCTATAGAAGAAAGCTTTTTAACTGCTGAATTATTTCTAGAGGTGATAAGCGACTAGCAACCCTTCTCCTTAGAATGTCCCAAACATGTTCTATTGCATTCATAGAAATATACTAGCCAGTCCATTCGAAGGATTCCTTCGTCGAAAAGAAAATTATTCACTAGCTGAGCCGGATGGGGGTCTGGCGTTATCGTCCATGAGAATGAATTCATCCCCGAGTGCTACAGGATAAAGGAGCACAGTTGGTCTGAAGATCTCATCCCTGTATTGATGAGCCGTTAGTGATCCATTCCTGATAACGTGTGCAGGTCGGTACGGCTATTGACAGAAATATCGGCTCAGATCATCACTCTGCCTCAGTCAAATAGAACACTTTCATGCACAAAATAGAGGAGTATTACGTACGAGGTTATTGTGAGGTTCACTAAAGTAAAACTAAAGTGAGTACGTTGCTCCACTCATCTCGTCCCCATATGAAATGCTTCTGTGCCCACCTTCTGCCGACAGCACGATGGACCTGTGTCAACGAAACACAAACCATACGAGCATACCACATGGTGGAAACGGTTTCGAATAGTTTGAGTTTAAAATCTGGTACCAGTAGCCCTCTGAAGGTGCTTTCTCTAAAAAGTGGCGTTAATAGTGTGGTTTCTTCTGGCCGTTAGTGTTAAATACTGATCCTGATTTTGTGCTGTTGCAAGCATACAACCTTGTCCTGATCTTCGGCAAACGTTTCCAGTTTCCAAAAAACGATTCCATAGTTTGGAAATGACATTTAGGGAAACTCCTAACACTTCCGTTACAATGTATTGCGTTTGACTCTTCTGTAAACGACCGAAGCCTTCCAGGCTACCGATTCAACTAAGTCATCTTGCTTAGACATAGTATTAACTGCTGCAAAACATTCAAAGCGTGTCAATTGTTTTCAATCTCCTACTTCAAAAGGAATGCTACAGGTCGCTTTTCCCTCCTGACCTAAAACGCATAGTTTTCGAAGTCACAGACTAAATTTGCACATTCCAACTTTGTAAGCGTTATAATTTTTCTTTATAACCTCTTCTATTTCCTTTTGGTAAAAAAAGTTGTCGATTATATGGTTATTTCATACCAAACTCAAAATATCCCCTAATTGTTTCGAGCAGTGTATGTGACTGCAAGATGTTACTCCGCGGTAAAAAAAGAAAAACCTAAGACTCCATTACAGATCTTACCTTTATAATATCGTATGGAGAAAAGGTTTTCTCAAACCTTAAGAGTCACACTTCAAATACTCCTTACGATGGGACAAGATCGCCTAAATTAGAGGTCTTCAACCCGTGGCCCGCTGAAGGCATTTTAGTGGCCCCACATTTGAAGTTGAAGAATTTTAAGAAAAATTGCCTTGTTAGCTTTTTGTCATAAAAAAAAAAAAAAAAACTTTTCTTTCTCTTATTCTTGATATTCAAAACATTTTATTGGCATGCCTGATATTACTTGAGATAAAATTTTCTCAAAATGACGAATTTTTCAAAAATTTCAATTTATCTTATGTAATTTTCAAAATAAAAAATTTCACAACGTATAAAATCTCAATTCCACAAAAAGGGTCGATTCTTATCTCTAACAGGTTCGCAACAGATGTCAATCTTTCGTCAATACTTCGCCAAAAGTTGCCTTGAGCGTGTCGCCCAAGGTGCCGCATGAGTTTACTGATGAAAAATGGTTGAGAGACTTTGCATTTCTTGTCGATATTACAGGTTATCTCGAGGGTTTGAACTACCGCTTACTGTGTAAAGATCTACTTGTTCATAATCATTATTGCTTTGTGAAAGCTTTTGAGACAAAATTAATCCTGTGGGAAAGTCAGTTGCTAAATAAAAATTCCTCTCACTTTCCAAAATTGATGGAGTGTGTGAAGAACTCTACAATATGGAATTCAAATAATTATATGAAATGCGTTTCACATTTGAAATAGGAATTCAAAAGCAGATTTTTCTGATTTTCGTGAAAATGAAATTTGTATGAGAATATTCTCCTTGCCATTTACAGTAGACGTTGGAAGTGTTCCACCTGAACTTCAATTAGAATTTATAGATTTTCAGTGCGACTCTGCAGTAAAATGCAAGTTTCTTGAAAATCCTACATTAATTGGTTTTTATTCGAAGTACGTGACCAAAGACTCCACGTCTTCTATCTTTGGCAGTACTTACATATGTGAACAGCTTTTTAGTAAAATGAAAATCCTAAAATCGAAAATAAAAACACGGCTGACAGACATTTGGAGGAAACTTTACAAACTGCAACAACACAGATTAAAACTAAAGTAATTACCATCTCCCGCCAGTGATATAGGTTTTTTCTTCTTTTGTTTTATTGTAAATGCATTTTTTAACATCATTCTGACAATCATCTTTACTTTTTTTTATAGTTAAAAAAAGTTGTAAAACATTTTAATTCGATTTCCATTTAACTTTTTGGAACTAATGTACAGTAAGACCCCGCTTAACGCTGTTTCGTTTAGCGCTGTTTCGGGTTTAGCGCTCTTTTATTTCAACCCGGGGATTCCACGAAATCGCTCGCAGCATACGGGGATTCCCCGAAATTTTATGCAGCGATAGGTTTCAAATACATATCCGAAAGAGTGTACTTGTATTTCTTGTTTGGTGCGGTATTGTACAGACATATTTTGAAGGGGTAAATGTGGAAGATGTCGAAGAAATAATTCAAGAAGCAGCGGCTAGTCTTTCTAATGATGAGCTCAAGGAATTAACTGAACAAGAAGAAAACAAAAATGTTGACAGCAGTGATTCAGAAGAAGAGCAAAAAGAACTTTCGATGGCGTTTGTAAAAAGGAGTTTGTCTACCATAACTGAAATAATGGATCAATTCATTGAAAATGATCCGAATTTTGACAGGAGCTCAAAAGTAAGGCGTGGTGGTGTTAGAGATGCTCTATCCGTTTATGAAGAACTTTTAAGAGAACAACGCAAAAGAAAAAGGCAAACAACATTAGATGCTTTTGTCACAAAAAGGCAGAACACTGAAAACGCGGAAGGCTAACTAAATATGACTGACTGAGAATTTTATTTGTTTTTTTTAAGAATATTCGTTTTGTTATTTATATTTTGTTTTTATTTTTGCAAGAAATAATAATGTGGTATTAATTTGGGCTTTAAGAAATAAATGTTTGGTTTTATTTTTATTAAAAAAACATATTTTTTAAATTTAATACCTAACCAATTTCCTAGCCATCTTCCCCTAACCCCAATATTTACATGTAAAGATAGCCTCGTTTAGCGCTGTTTCGCATTACGCTCTACTTTGATGGAACGTATCCCCGCGTTAAGCGGGGTCTTACTGTATATATACGAATCAGTAATACTATCTCTTCACTTAGAATCAGTTGTAGTCTTGCAAAACAAACCTTCCTTTTTTTTAATATAAATTTTCTGACTGCAATACTTTTTGACAGACATGTGGCTCGCCGAGCTTTATGAATTTATTGATGTGGCTCTCGGGCGTGAAAGTTGACGACCCCTAGCCTAAGTGATCTAGCATTTAA